CCCGGGCAGGTCGGGCCGGGCCCATTCCCCGCTCCCTTCTGGATAAGGAGGTGACTCCCAAACTTCTCGTGAAATCCCATCCGCAATGCTCTGCAGCCCCTTGGAGCATAATTACCTAAAATTGTGTCAAAACCAGTGGATTCCACTAGAATTTTACTTAAAGCTGAAACGTGAGCTATTAATATCTGTTGAAGGTCAACCCATGAGAAAATGCCCACTAAAGGGCTCCTCCTGCTTAAAACGTCCCTAAATAGTGCTGTAAAATTTTTCTTCATGGTACATGTGTCTGAGTCCTAAATGTCTGCTCAAAGAAGGATAATACTGTTGTTCAAAAATGTAACTAATTGGTCATTCCAGTGTGGTTACTGCCATATTTGTGTTTAGTATTTATCTATTTGTATTATAGTGGCACGGAAAAGCATCCCTTTCTTATCACTCACTTGCCATTAGCACACACTCAGGTAGCTCTTTAACCAAGTAGCTCAGTAGATATTTAAGCCAGACAATCCCTGTGTTTAGGACCTTTTAGTTTTATTCTAAATGGCTTCATGGACTGTGTGGGACCACTGTGAAACCACTGCTCACTGCAGTGTGGGCAGCTACCGATCCCTCAATGGGCCATCTGTCCAGGAGGACAGATAGGGGAAATTTGGGTTAAATATTAATCATTACTTTTACAGAACTGGTTTTGCTCAGTCTCTGTGCTGGGAGACCAATGAGAGGGTCAGATCTTGGTGCCATTAAATGTAACTCTCCATTAGGTCTGTCTTTTTAAAGCCTGGACTAGTCTTTTAAATTAAGAGCTGCTGTTGTAAATTGAAATCATCCCCTGTTGTACTGACCCCCTTCCATGAGCAATCAAAATTTCAAAAACAGCCCACAGAGATACAAGTTTTCTAAATTGTGTTGATGAACTTGATATTAAAATGTTAGATATGGGTTTTACACCTCAAGTCAGTAGAATTAGCTTACTTTAGAAGTTTGTTCATTTTCTTCCCCCTAACTATACTTCTTTACATCTCTGGGCAGTTATCTTAATTTAAATTGTGGGAGTCATGGAGCCAGTTTATTTCTTTGTCCCATAGAACCAGCTTCAATTTCATTATACTGTACTGAAACTTCAGGACAGCAAGGAAACACATAAAAGCAATCAAAACTGCTTTATTTCTTATAAATTTTAAAACCTGCATGTGTCACTTTTTTTGAAAAAAATCAAAGTGTATTTTTATTTAAGTTTTCCAATAGTCTCCCTAACATTTTTAAAGACTTGGTAGCTGTACCACAAGAGATGTAGCCCCATGGTGGAATACAGAACAGTGCCCTTTCCTGAAACAGGGCTCACATTGAAAGTTGTTCCACAGGTTATTTGTTTTTCCCTTTGGAGTCAAATTAATGCAAGTTTGCTGTGGATGCACCAAAGCTGCCAGATGCTGGTGTGATTCATACCCTGCAGTATCCGGCATCTGATGTAATGCCTATTGTAATTCCCACATTTGATGTGTTGTTTCTGATGCTCCAGCACAGGCTTTGTTTCCTCCACAGCCTTGTGCTGGCAGAGAGAGAGGCCTTCACATGAGGTTAATTTATTTATTTCTAATCTGCATAGTTCAAGGGCATGATATGAAATACCCCTCTTCACCTCCAGTCTGGAAGGTGCTGGAACCCTCCTGAAAATCCTGCTCAGCTCCCAGGCCATCAGATCCAAGTCCCAATGCCTGCATCATCTCATTTGGATGCTGCTGCTGCAGCAATTTCTCTCATCTGACAGAAACCAGTTCTGTCTCTTCCCTCTGGTGACTCCAGCATTCATTTCTCCACTAGTTCCTAGATGGAAGCAAGTGTACTGCCTGACTTCTCCCCCCTTTTCAGATTCCAGGTGGAAAAGCACACTGGAACTCCACCCCATTTAATTTACTCATGAATATCTTTCTGCCCTCTTTTCCTTGGATCTCCTCACCCCTTCTTTTCACCTAGAAAAGCCACTCCTAAGTCTCTGCCATAAAAAGAAGCCTCCCATCCCTGGACCCTACTCCCTAAAGCTGCTCCCCAAGCCTCTCTCAGACCCCTAGACAGGTTTCCTGTTTTTTTCCCATCCATATGGATATTTCAGGTTTTGTTTGGGTTATTGGATTTTTCTCCACGACATAATCCCATTTTGAGCAACATATAGATTAAATATGACAAAGAAAAATGCTCAAGTGCTCCAAACTCATTTGAGTTATAGAAGCAGCCACTGCCTTCCTGGTCCTGGTGACCTCCCCGTTTCATTCTGTGCATGACAAGTAGGTACTTAGGTCTAGATTCCTAAATTAAACTGCACATGGAATTGGGCTATGCTTTGTGGCACCCACTTCCCACCCTCATGTAAGTCAGCAGCTGGCTGTGATTTAAAACTCCAGTTGAGAAGATGGAAGAACTTTAGCCCTGTCCCTGTGTCTGTTACAACCAGCTAAATTATAATGCAACTGAAATGTAATTACTTTTCCATCCTGCACAGAGAATACAAAACATGAATTCACTAGTTTAGAGTAAGCCACAATAAATTTAATTAAAATGGCCTCATGTAAAACACATACAAGTACAATAAAGTTATTTTATTTTGGTTCTCAGGATCACTCCTCTCCCAAAAAATTTGTCTGTTTTTTAAACATGCTGAATTAATCCCTTTAACTGCAAGAAAAAAAATGACTAAAACAAGTTTGAGGGTGTTGTAATAGTACCTACACCAACTCAAAAATTTAAATTTTATATTAAATGAACAACATACCATTAGCTGAAGCGTTCACCTCATGCATTCACTATTGGTTCTCTTTTTGCCTGATTTGTACTCAACCAAGTGGCATTTCTCTTCCAATTGTTAATAATAAAGAGGCACAAAAATAAGTCAGGAAACAACTTGCATCATCACCCCGCCCCCAATCTCCCTGATTTTCACTGGTCATTTGGTAAAAGATACAGCAAGTTTTAGGAAAAGGCAGCTTTTCAGTTCATGAAAATCTTTTTAGCAAAGCTCTGCTGGGGTGTTGGGATAGGAAAAGTAAGTCCTGATGCCACAATGCCTGCAGAGAAAATATTTTGCCCCTCACACACCAACATCTCCCTGACTCCATTAGAACAATATTTATAAAGGCAGCTGCTGCTCCTGATGATGCCTTGACATCCCATGGTTTTAAGGAGACAAATCAACTGGGAGCTTGGCATATCATAGCTTTTGCTGCAAACTGTCTCTTTGCAAGATTCTGCAGGGTTAGAAAGGGATTTTTCCTTCTTGTGCTCAGCTGCTCCTGTGGAGGCCCAGCCTATGTCGTGGTTCTAGTCAGCCCAGTTTAGGCAAGTGCAGTAACTCCAGTGCAACCCAGTTCTTCTCTGCATTGCCAGAGATTCATTCTTGGAGCATTTCCCAGAAATCTGTGCTGGACAGATGTAGTTCACTTTCAAATCCAGGTCAGCTCCTTCTTTAGCTGGGATTACTGTTCATTTAGTGCACACATTTCTTCTCTGAGAAGGATCTTGGCTCCCATGATCCTGACAGCCGTAACTGCCAGCACCCACCCCTACCAGCTGATTTCCCACTGGAGTTGAGATGTCTCCATGACCCAGCCCTGGCTGTGTAGAAGCATTGTCATTAGTAGGAAATAATTTGTGCATCAACTGCAAAGTAAACACAGAGGATGTTTGGGTTTCCTTTCCATTAATCAGGCCAGAATGACTCTCCATGCTTTTTGATGTTTCTGAGTTCACTAGAAATCTAAATAAAGGTT